CATCGTGGGACCATGGGAGGGGGGCGGGCACAGGCGGAGGTGAGGCTGTGCTGCTCTGTGAGCTGGAGGGAGTGATGGCAGCTGGAAGGAAGCCTTGTGCCATCTGGATACTGTCCTCTCTAGAGGGCACGCTGGCATGGAAGTTCCAGAATTCTTTTGCAAAGTTCTCCCAGTTTAACACTTCAACCTTTCAATTATTTATCTTCCCTCCCTACTTCTCCTTCCCATTAGAAAATAAAAATTGAACAAAACTAAACCAAACCCTCTCTGGATGCTAATTAAAAAAACAAAGAAATATTTTTACTGATAAAATGTGTTTTGCTTATAACTCCAAAACACACTAGAAAACTGCAATGTTGGTTGGTTTATTGGGAGCATAAAAGTTGACAACTGAAAATTTTTGTCTATTATAACGTGTGCAGAACCTGAGCATACCACGTCAGATACTGCCACGGGGAGTTAGAGTGATGTGTCCAAGCTTAGTCTAACTATCTGTTATTCCATCTTTTTTGCTGAGTAGTACTTGATGAGCCAAATAATTATTTTCACAGATCTTCCCCATAAATGTACACTCATGGAGATTCCTTTGTGCCCTAAGTCACCAGCATCTGTTCATCCATGGATAGGTCCTATTAACACCCCACCTCTGTGCCATCTCATTGACCCATATAAGTCCTACCGCACTATTTTTCTTTTAGTAGCTAAGTTCACGGGCACAGGACTTACTTAGAAAGAAGAGTGATTCTAGAAACACCAGCAGATGGGAAAATCAGGAGGAGTATTTTAGAAAGAGGGGAGGTACTTCCCTACCTCTCTTTTCCTCTTGGCTCGCTTGAGGCGGAAAAGCCAAGGAAGAAAACATCCCAGCTCCTTTCAAAGCTTCACAGTCAGGGCTCTAGAACTACTGTAGGCTCTCACACAGCTTAGAACCTGAGAGCTCTCATACGGCCTAAATCAACCTGCTCCTTTTAGAAACAAGGAGCCTGCATGTCTTTTCAAAGGCCACAGGTAGTAATAGGCAGAACTGGGACACAAAAGAGTGTCACCGACTCAAGACAGTGACAAAACTCTGGTGCCACTTCACAGGGGGCCAATCCACCTGCCATTTTTGGTGTTGGCCTTTCGAGAAGAACCCATAGAGCCCCCAAGGCTGGGCTGTCAGCCTCAGGAGTACCACTTACTTCAGGGGCTTCCCACCATCCAATCGGAACAAACAGCAGGTGTGAAACAATGAAGGGAAGACAGACAGGAACCGAGCGTTGTGTTTTGTTTTTAGTGAATCCTCTGTTCACCTCAATATTAAGTTAAATGCTGACATGTTTCCTGGGAATGTTTTACTAATAAGCAAAGATTTAATTGTGGTTTTTAAAAAAGTGCTGCCCTAGCACTTTGCTTCTTTGTAACAGCACCAGCCAACCCTGCCCTTGGTGAGATCTGCTTGTTCCCCCCCTGGTTCTTGCACTGGGCTGTGAGCTCCCAGCCCGGGGCCATGGCCCGTGCATTTCTCCCTCCTCTCAGTGACTGCCACAGCGCTCTGCACACACTGTGGCTGGTCAATGCCACGTTTAGGCTGCCAATACCTGTGTTTTGATTTTTATGCCCTTTAGCAAGAAAGACTCAGCAATAAAATAAGTCTTTGCAGTTTATAAAAAGTAACTCCACGGCTCAACCGCAGCGATGTGCCGACGCTGGCACTACCTGTCCCAATTACGTCATAGGAAGTTTTGTCCTGAGAAACTGACAAAATGGCATCAGACCTAAAAACAAGAGAAGAAATTCATTTTGTTTTGTTCCGGTCTATCTTTTTCTCTTTAGAGGTTTACGTTTGTCCTATGGACTGTAAGAAAATGATCATGTTACTGGAACTAAATCATTTTAGATACAGTCATGCTCTGCATAACGTTTCGGTGACTGCCACCACATCCACGATGGTGGGCCCATACGATTATCGTAGAGCTGAAAATTTCCATTGCCCAGTGACATCGTAGCCTGGGGATGTCCTACCACAGTAAACAAACCTACTGCGCTTCCAGTCGTATGAAAGTACAGCACATACCACTGTGTCCGGTGCGTAATATCGATAACGACAATGAACGACTGTGCTACGGGTTTATGTATTTGCTATCCTATACTTTTACTGTTATTTTAGAGTGCATTCTTTCTACTTAGTAAAAGAAAAACCAAGTTCGCTATAACGGTATGCTGTGTCACCCCCGCAACAGCCTCACCCGTCTCGTGTTTACTGTGCCTCTCGATTGCACCATTTCCTCTCGCGCTTGCCGCAATCCGCGCTGTTCTGCACAGTAACACATTTCTTAGAAAGAGGTGATCAGTACAGTGAGTCCTCACTGAACCTCCTCCATAGGCTCCTGGAACTGTGGCGAAATGATGTCTAAGGAAACCGATCATACCGCAGGCGGACGGATGCAAAGAAGAGTTAAAAGTCCCCACTTAAGCATCTCACCGACATTATTTACGAAATAACACTGAACAAAATGTACTCAGGAACCTGTTGTGCTGGGTCCCCACCCACAGGCAAGTACATCCAAATCCAGGGCAGCGGAGTTGGGTGATCGGTGCTATTTCTGAGCTCCCCAGAGGGCTCCAACGTGCGGTCGAGTTTTGGGCCCTTGCCCTCCGTATCCAGCACTAGCCAGGGGGGGCCCGAGAAGTCGCGCTGCGCTTGGGACTGTCGGAAGCTCGCGGAGAAGATCCGCAAAGAACTACTGAGCATGCGTGCTCCTCACCAAACATTCATTAAAATATTATATACAAGTTTGGCCTTTGATTACCTATCATAAAGAGAAAGGGACTCAGAGAAGACCAAGACATATGATGATGACAGGGAATAAAACAGGAAACTATACTACAAAATGATTCTGGAACTGGGGCTACATCAGCTTCAAAAGAAAATATCAAGCAATATTTCAACAACTATTTTTTAAACTACAAATACATCTTCCTGTCATACGGATGCAGGTTATAGTAGCTATTTTCAGAAAGAATATTTGACAATAATTTATACAGTGCTGACACTTATTAAATGTAAGTAGATGTATTTTAAAGAAATGAAAATATTCAGATTTGTCAGAAACTTCTCTGATTATAAATTTAACCCACAGAGTATCCTTTCTGATGGCTCTGTGTGGGTTTCTAGAGAAACGGCTTGATAATCTATAACAGCACCACCCGTACGGAACCATGGTTCTTCCTCTTTGCCAGCTGGGACGCTAAACAATCTCTGACCTGTGCAGCCCCGTTTTAAGCCCCAGACAACACAACACTTGCTCCAGTATAAAGCCAGAGGTCAGCAAAAGAAATCAGCCTCTCTTTCAGGATACCTGAAGTGTTCAAAATGTTAAGTAAAGAACTGTATTAGCATTTCCATTTAGGAATTCTGCCCAACCTGCACTTGGCTTACTAAGAATAGAACAGTCTTGTCATCAAACAATCCCACTGCATGTGGACCTTTTTTGGCCCAAAATTTCCTTCCTGGTGGTAGTTTATTATATCATGTCTTTCCTACTGTTGGGGCCAGGGCAGGGCACCCCAAAATATCCCACAATGGTATAAGGATTACTTTGAATTAAAGTTACTTGACAAGCAGACAATGCAGTAAGGGCACATTGACCCTCCCTTGTTTCCTTGGACGCGGGAAATAAATGTCCCCTGTGAAAGGTGCCCTCCTTGCTCCAGGAGGCTGAGCCACCCTTATCCCTAGCTAAGGAATTCAGGGCCAAAAAGCAGTATAAACAAAACTTGTTATTTCTTTACTAATTTACTATCAAAGCCCAAACTCTGTATAGATTCTTCACTAATGAGTACACAAACCTAAGTTCCTTTGCCCTGTTAAATTTATTGTTTCTTTGTCTAAAAGGTATAAAAAGCTGACTGGTTCATCATTTCTAAGAGTATCATTTTTAATCTCCTGTGTGCACATATTAAATTGCTTTTTTCGTCTGTTAATCTGGTCTTATGTCAACTTTATTAGTCTAACCTTAACAATTCAAGAGGGGCAAAGGGGGGATCTCTTCCCTTCTTCAACACCACTTTTTGCTGTTTTAATGTAATGTAATATGATCAAAGTCAGCCTTTTATATTCCCAGTACCCAACGACACCAAAATATTAGCTTAATAAAGGAATACTCAAAAGAATAAATGAATACATAAATGAACCAAGCACCTCCCTGTTATGCTATTGTGTCCTTCACCACACAAATCAAGTTATTATACGTATTTTTCACTTGTTTGCCGTTAATTAATTAGTTTTAACTGAAAATCTATGTATTCCGTGCTGTGCTGAATGGTCAAAAGGAATGTCCTCTATTCTCTAGCAGCTAAGAACTTAGTGAGATATCAACCTAAGCAATTCTAGGGATTTATGTGTACAAACACAGAGGTTGGTAAATATGTTGGACACATGCATTTAATTGATAGATAAACACTAAACCAACAGTTGATAGGAAGTACTAATGCCACTAATAAGCAGAGCTTAGGAACATCTGAAGGCTATGAAAGAGAGTGATTCCTGGTATCTCATATTTGGCTACCACTAGGGCGAGAGAAGCATTACATGGAGCAAACCAGGACGGGGGAGGACCTGTGGAGCGACACACTGACAGAAAAGAGGTGGAGCTGGGGGCAGAAGAAATTCTGAGTATAGTTAAAGCCTCAGAGAAGGCTGGAAGGACCCATCGGTTACTTAGATTAAGGTGTTCTTGAGAACCTTGTCCACAAGAAGAGCAGAGGGACAGGCAATAAAATGAAAAGAAACCAAAGAAATTAGGTTATCTGAGGATATACCTTTATAAAAAAATTTAAATTTAGTTAAATCCATGACCCATCTTTAGTATAACACTCTTAGGTGCTCTTAAAAGTACTTCATAGACAGTTGTACTTTTAAACACAATTTTAAGCCCGGTTCTTTCTCTTCATCCACCAAAGAGGAGAGAAAAAGACCCTCTTCTGAATAAACATATTAGAAACTGGACTATACATACTCATTCTTGTCCACTTTTTCTCGAAGCTTCTTCAGTTGTTTATTTTGGCCGAACTTCGCATTTTGCATTATGTTCTCAAAGTATTCATCTTCCTTGTAGTTGTACTATATCACATAAAAGATATTAGGAAAAATATTAAAACCAGTATCTTCAAAACTTTTGCTAAAAATATAGAGGCCATATTCTTAAATTCTGTCTGTTAATAAAGTTAACGGAGAGCATTAAAACTCACCAAAGAAGGATTTCGTTCCCACCAGCCTAATTCTATATTACAGATCACTGCCGCTCTAGCTGAGTCACCACTTCAGTCTATTCTTTTGTAATTAATCACATAAAACCAAGTGTCAGACCAGCCTTACCATATTGATATTAATCCTTACATACCAGATGTGATAACAGCACATTCTTAGTAGTACCTACTATGTGCCAAGCAATACTCTAACCTTATAAAGATGGGCTGTTATTACCACTTAAAAGTTGAGGAAACTGGAGGCACAGACAAGTGCACTTGCCCAAGTAACTGAGTGGCAGAGGTGATACTTCAACCACCGAGTTTGACTTTGATTTTATGCTCTTAGCAAATTACTGAGTGGTGGAGCTAGGATTTGAACCCACACCGTTCCGTTTTGCATCTACGGTCTTAGCCGCCAGGCTCCTGCTACAAGGACCCTCAGGACCCCCACGCTACAGCCAGCTCATTTAAAAGAAACGGTCAAGCTTTTCTGCAAATGGAAAAGGAGAGGACACTGTGGCTTGCAAACTCCCATGACAGACTAGTAATCAATGGATTAGGAGTCATTGTGATCTCTGATTTGCGCAAGGATTACCTTGTAGTCACCAGGGTTTCAAGCAGTTGTGGTGACCACAAGGTGAGCACCAAGAACCTCAGCCAAGTTTGACATCAGTACTGCAGTGACTTTAGTGAGCTCTCTCCTCTTACCACTGTGACATTACCAAAGGGGAATAAAACAGTCTCCGCTTCTCAAGTTTTAGATTTTTTTTGTTTGCTTCTTAAACAGAGAATGCATGACCTAGCTTACCCAGCGGAGGAAAAATTAGAAAGTGGATGGAAACCTGAAGACTTGACTCTTCAGGCCTGTGAAAGGTGAGATAAGGAGCCCGCGTGTTCAGCACTTTGATGTCTACCCCTGATTCTCTTTAAAGGACACTGGATCTTTCTTATTTCTCAAAATGGATTATATGGAAACCAAAATAACAGATACAGACCAGGCCGATGACACAAAAGGCTAAAACGAAAACAAACACAGATCTGTCTTCAGTGTTAAAAGGTTTTTGTAATGAGACCTATGGGATTAGGCTACTTCACATAATTTTTCCTACCCGACAGCTAGAAATGACATTGCCACCAGCCCCCGGTGTCATTAGCCCAGAGGCTTTACAGAGACTTACCTCCTCGTATTCTTTATTCAGGCCGTCAACATCTGAGAGAAGATCATCAGGATAGCCAATTTTTTCTTTAATTGCTAAGGCCTATGAAAATTATAATATTGAATGTGAGGATGATTCCATGACTTTCAAATGCAAACACTGTAATTTGCCCATGAATATCAACTGAATACCTTGATCCATACTGTTTACAAAAAGAGTCCCTGACAACACTTAAGAAGAAATCTTTGAAGTGGCTTCGTCCTGGGGCTCAAAATAAACAAAAAATTGGTCTGAAATTTAGCTTCTGTCCTCACAGGCTGCAGCTTTCCTAAGAAAACCTAAATGAAAGCTGATGAGTCATTGTTCCACATGTATTGTAGTTGTATAAACTTTTTCCTGAAAGGCATTTTCTTCTATTTACAAGAGAAGTAAGATTTAGAGCTTCCATTGTAGCACCTTGTAATTTTCTTTCCACTTTACTGATTTGGCTGAGAAAACAGAGATGGGTTTACATGTTTAGTGCTAATATTGTTCTTGAATATTGGTTCTTGGAGTTTTTATGTTCTCCCTCGGTCTCCAAAGCTGTGTACCTATCTTCTCAACGTTAAATGAATGATATTAATTAAACAAGTGAAAAACAAGAGTTTTTCTTATTATACCAACTCATGGTTACCATTTGTTCACTGCCATTTCTGATTTTTGTTTATTATTTTTAAGTTACTTATTTTTATTATTTCATGATTACCACTTGTTTACTACTTGCTATCGCTATTTTTTAATTTTCTCAACGGTGTTTGACTTTCGATGCTATCATATCACATTGCTCTTAAATAATTTAATCAATTAAAAATTTTCATGGGGAATTAAGCCTGTATCTCTAAGTTATTTGGTTTGCCATCAAAGGGATGTGGTTTTGTTACAAATCTGTTTCATAAGCACAGGATTTCCCCCGTGGCCGAGACAGGATATATGTCACCAAGTCAGTTAGGCCATGCCTATTTTCTTGTAGGTTTCCACACCATCAGTCCATTATAAATCAGCCCGTCTCATTAGCACTTTATTTTCTGGAACACATTTCCCCAACGAGTGTTCTAAGGAACAAAGACTCTATTGAAATAAAAGTTACTACATAAAAATAATTATTGTCAAATACTTTGGGTAAATACTGTGACAAAACATTAAGTAGGCTTCTTTATTGCAGGACTTCTTACAGTCAAAATTAGGTTATTATAAGTGTCCCACAGGAAGAATTAATTTGTCCATTTATTCATTCAATATAGGTTCAAGGTACTTTGTAAGGGTCCAAGGCTCCAATGTCAGGCAAAATTTCTGCCCCCAGAGAGCTTATGTGAAGATCAATGAAAGGCACTGAAACGAGAATTGACTCTCAGTGTGATGCATGGTGCCATGAAGTCACCCCCTAGGGCACAGAGCCTAGACTAGGAGGAGGTCAGAGAAGCCTTCCTGCAGGAGGCGTTTCCTAGGCTCTCTGACCACATGATTCTCTTTGGGGAACAACTTGGCAGGTCCCGTGTTTTGTGACACCACCTTGGGAAATGATGACTTAGAACAATTCAGCTGACTGTGTCAAACAGAACCACGTCACGAAGCGCTAGAACACGAACGGAGCAAAGCCAGCCCAAGTTCCCGAAGTTTCTGTAGAATTATGAAAATATAGGGGGTCTTATATTCTAAACCTAACCCATCTGGGGCTCTGTGAAGCTGAAAAAGATAGTCCTTCCACGTGATTTAATCCTGAAACAGAACTGGACTACAGCTTGGTTCTCTTATAACAGGTTTTTGAAGTCCTTCTGTTATCAGTTCAAAATGTGGTCTGTTCTTCCTGCCACCTTAATTACAGAGAAATAATCAGGTTGCATGTGAATCCTGCTCGCAAAGCACGTACAGTTGTCACTGGACATGTTGTTCTTTCTAGTTTTATATAGCTATCAAGACAAATGATCATAGTAAATTTAAACCTAAAATTTCCTTAGAAATCCCACCTTTTTTCTTATGCAAGATATTAAAAGTCCCAATAAAAAGAGACTTAATCACCATGTAAAACTTAAATATTGCACCATCTTACGAACAGAAATATAGTATTTTTTTCTCCCTAGGTTTTATAAAAAGCTAAATGAAGCAGGGTTTAAAAAATTTAGCTAGAAATTTGCATTAAAAATTGACATTGTTAGAGGCCTTTTAGGTATATTTCATAAAAGGAGGAAAATTATGAACTACTGATAGCATTTCATTCTTTACTTGTTCATGTAAGATTTTCCTCTTGTTTTCTGAAGTCTTCCTTAAAAAAAAATTGGAGATCTTTCAAAGTTTGGAACTGAACACTGAGAATAGGGGCTGATTGCAAAGAAAAATAAAAAATGAAAATCATAGAAAAAAATATTTATCCATGAAAATTGTTCCTGAAAACATTACATTCTGAAGGAACTTGCTTTTGTTTTATGCAATTCCTTTTTTCCCCCCTCACTGCCTTTGATCAGGTTTTTATTCAAAATCTTATGCAATTCTTGATTATATTTTTCCTGAATTGTCTTAAAAGTTCGTGTTTCTTTATAAAGAAATTTTTTTATTGGTAGTTGGCTCTGCCTTGCTTTTTACCTTTTCTTCAGCTCTCTTTTTTGTTTCAGCATCCATCCAAGTGAGCTCATCCAAAGTCTGAATAAAAACTTTCCGGATCTGTGCAATCAAATCCTCAACCTCAAAGCAAAAGAAAAGAAGACAAAGTTTAGGCCATTAATTAATTTTTTGTAACACAAATTAATACAGACAAAAGTGCTGTAAAAGTCTGGGGGTGGGGGAGGGAGTGGGGTGGAGAATGCCAATGGGGGGAAAAGAGGGATGCCTGTAATACTTTCAACAATAAATATAAATTAAAAATAAATAAATAAAAAATAGAGCTATAACCTGTCTTTATGTGACTCGATAATATATTAATAAATGTAAACTTACAGACAAACTGTGACCTAAACAAATCGATATATATTTTTATCAATACTTATGATTAAATAGGTCTTAATATACACATTAATAAAAAATCAAGTTAAGAATGTGATGGTTGCTATTATCGTAAAATAAGAACTAACATAAAATATTAGCTGCCATTACCATTTGTAGTTTAGTAAAGCATGAAGCAGCATTTCAACAGATTTTCACCATACCTTCAAGTTCCATTACTTTTATGTCAGTAACAATGAAAAATGGAGCACATTTCTTACACTTCACCTAAACTTGGGTTTACTTTCTAGGTTTTAAAGAAAACATGAATTCTTGGTCAACTTTGCTAACAGAAGAGTTTATAAATGACTCTATCGCTAGAACATGCGACTGTTTCCAGAATCTACCGCTTCTGGAAAAAGGACAGCTGCTTTTGGACTAAACGATATTAGGATCAGAGATAGAACCAGACCCTTGGGGGACAGGGGATGGGATTTACCGGGGAAATAATGGCAAATAATAATAATGCCAATTAACGAAACTTTAGCCAAATTATGGACCATTGTAATTGCCCATCAATGCAAACAAGTAAGTGACTGCACGGTGCTGAAAACGTTACCACGTGTTTACTCTCTCCAGCGAATGCTGCTTCTACATAAAGCTTTCCCACAGCACTGTCCATGTTGGCATTGACGAAGTTGACACAGCGTCGCCAGGCCGCTGTTTCGGAAGTGGTGCCGTAAATGGCCTGGGGAGAGACAGAGCAGGTGGCGTTCGGTCAGGACGCAGCCGGCCGCAGCGAGGTCAGAGCGCAAACTTCACAGGACTCTATTCTTATGTCCCCTAAGTTCCTGCATATTCATTGCTTCCCCTCACAAGGCACGTTGTCCTTGTCCATGACAAAATGCAATTCAATTGGATTGTTTACTTATATATGATCTGAAAATAAGGTATGTTTTCAGTACCTGTCCCAGTAGAACTTTAGGCTACTACAAGTTAATATCCTTCCAGACAGCTTTAGAAAAAAGCAACCAAAAAAACCTCCCAAACAAACAAAATACCATCATTATCTCTGCATAAACATACATGTGAAGTAATGTTCAGTAAACATCATAACAGGGGAGGAATCTGCTATACAAAAAAGCGCTCTCCTATTTTTATTTTAATGTTTTAGCTGAACTTCCAGGACTTAGATGAACTCTATGTGTATAAATTTAAGTATCAATAAGGGGACTAACTTAGCTAAAGGAAATTTAGCAAAATACCATTTTTACATTCTTTAATTTTAAAAATGTGTCTGCATTTTTTTTTAAAGGGTAAAACCACAACATTTTTATCAGAGAGTTATTTCCTTTCCATGACACCAACCAATACTGGCCACCAACCGTTTGCTAGAATTTCTCCTTTCTCATCCCCCCTGCCCTTGCCCCTTACAACAGGACTACAATGGTGATTAACTGTAGGTACAGCCTAATCAAAGGCCTTAAGGCTGTCTCCAGGTAGGTGTGTTCTCAGTGGACCGTCCACACCAGTGTAATCCACCTATGTGTATATCTAGTGTGCTATGAACACCTGAAAAATCAAGTTCATTGAGATATCCCTGTGATTGTTTCTAACGTCACAAAAACACTGAGCCAGTGTGTTTGTTTCATGAACTGCTCACATAACCAAATGCATATTCTTCCATGGCCTTTCAATCATGATGCCACAGTAAACAAACATAGGATGGCAAAGCCCCTAAAAACTGGCTTTTCTGTGATGGCTTTTCTAGACATCACAGCCTAAATACGGGCAGAATAACCGACATTTGGCATTTTGTCTCTTGACCAAGTTCACCACATTCTAGCAGTGCACATGGCACCTTCATAACCATGTGTCTCTTTATGATTTAAGTCTTAAGAAAAGAGAGATTATTTCTTCACCTTGCGGAAAGCATTTCTGGACTCCTTGTAGTTTCTGCTGAGGCTGCTTACAAGATCCATTATGAACCGCCAGGACATTAAATTTTGAAGATCTCTGTATAAAAAAACCCACCACCCAGCAACAGAAAAGATGAGGCTGCAAAGCTTCTAAAGAGTGATATTAAATGTAAACTCTGAGGACATGGGGACGCTGACATACTTACCTGGCGGTGTATTTGGTAAGAATGAGCTTAAGTTTGGCTAAGTACTCTGGAGCATACACAACCACATCCTCTTCATTTGTAATTTTAATATCCACAGTTGACATAATTTCATTTGTGAAATTTGACCAGCTGAATGGCTGGAAAAAAGCAGGCACAAAACATTCTGTAATTATGAATTTCCCTTCTTGATTCCAACACTCAGTTACCGTTAAGGGTCAGACGTGGTTAGGGTGTCAGCTACATCACAACACAATTATCCCAATCGTCAGTCTGATATTTGCTTGGGATTTCTCCTCAATTGTTTCAATTGGTTATGAATAAAAATTAGTTCTGCACCAGGATTATTTTGATAGCAGAATTAAACCAATCATTAAGGAACAAAAGCAAAGCCTCTAAGTGTAGAGATATACAACTAGAAATTAGGCTCAATGTCATCTTCTTGGTCCAATCAGAATAAAAAGAAGAAAATTTTAGCTTTAAAAATAAAACTTCCTTGGTCTATGCAAAAATTTAAGTGGGTATTAACTGTTTATCTTTTAAAAGTGGATATTAATAAACAATCCACTCAAACACAGTAATATGTCTCAGTGGAGATCCTGCTGCAAATGAAAACATGTTACAGTCATAGCAGAGAGGTTCAGTGACGGTACAGATACACCACAGAGGGTCCAACGAAGCTAAACAGAACACTGTCAATATTGGGTCTCTAGGCATTAGGCATGCAGTTCTTACACTCCAGAAGCTAGATTTGGAGTTGCCAACGGATGGAATCTTGTCTCTTTAAAGCGAGAATTGTGGTTATTCAACCACCAGAAGATATAAGAAAACACAGCAGAAGTGGAGATCATGCAGATCTTGCTGAAATGCCATATTTCAGTGATGGAGAATGTTTAAAATTACCATATTTTAGGCACTATGATTGTGTAGATAAGTATATAACATGCCGATCACTTTCTAAGAATGAAGTGCTATGTTCTTTTCTTGATTTCTTTTGGTGGTTTGGATCATTCTTTCAAAACATATTTATTAGGAACTGTAGAATATGGATGGACCTGGAGAGTCTTATGCTAAGTGAAATAAGCCAGTCAGAGAAAGACAAGTACCATATGATTTCACTGGTATGTGGAATTTAATAAGGCAAAATGAACTAATAATAAGCTATATAGACACAGCCTTATAGATAGAGAGCAGGCTGACAGCTGTGGGGGCAGGGCTGGGTGGGAGGGGTGGAGGGATAGAGCAAAAAACGGGAAAAAAACAAAAAAACCCTCAAGGACACAAACAACAGTGTGGTGGTTGCCACCGGGAGGGAGGTTGGGGAGGTAGAAGAGGGTATAGGGGGACATAAATGGTGATAGATGGAGACTTGACTTGGGGTGGTGACCACACAGTACAGTGTACTGATGATATGTTGTAGAATCGTGCACCTGAAGCCTGTATACTTTGTTAGCCAGTGTCACCTCAATAAATTCAAGTTAAAAAGTTCTGTGAGAAATTCCTAACTCAAAAGGTTATGCTTTTTAAAAAGTCCTTCTTTATTATAACTCTTGCCAAAGAGAATCCATCACCGAATGTGGTCATTTGCAGATTTTCCCATGGATGTGGTTTTATTTCCCGATTGTGTGCCTCAACTAAAACACAAGTACACATGAATAGCCCCCCAAAGAGATAATTACATACCAGCTAATGAACTACAACTAAGCAAAAAGATGTCAAAGGCTGCTTATAAATGCACTCTATGAGACAGTTTTCTTATTTCTTGTGTTGTATTTCTTCATTATTGCTCTGAATACCTCCTTAGATGCCTTGATGAGAACAGCAAGTTCTATGAATAAATTAATCTTTTTAGGAGTTAAAAAAATTGAGTGCTTTTATTATCTGACTGTCCAACTCCGATGGCTAATATATAACGGTCTTTCAGAAGGATTTTCAGCTTTAATATTTTCTAAACCCTTTTCTAAGATCATTCCCACCATTACTGCATAGCTGCCTTAGAAGGGCTTTTACCTTTAAAATTCCTTCTAACTCAAATATAATAGTTTTAAATAATGGTTTTTTTCCTGGTTCGGTCATGAAGTCATCTAAATTCATTTGCTCTTCAATTTATTTCAATGAATAAGAAATCATTGAATTTTAAGAAACTGTAATTCAATGTTATAAGTTTTAGAAATGGCACAGTAAGAGAGTACATAAAACTTGCTACTTACCTTCCCATTGATCTCTAGTGAAAAGTTATTTTGGACTTGGGCTAATTTCATTTTGTTATAAAGAAGCATTGGATCATTTCGATCTTCAGGTTTAGCTGTAGCCTACGGATTTAATTTTGGATCATTATTTTAGAACTAAGAATTCTTTAGTAAAACTATATTTAAGGGAAAAAGGACTATGGGATAGGTAAATACACTTTAAGTTCTACTCTGCACTTGTTTTACAATTTATTTTGTCATATCAAAAAGGAAAGTAAAATTTGAGAGTTTAAGTATATTCAGTAACAATTATGAAGATTTGGTTGCAGTGCTGAGTATAAAATTTCTCAAAAATCTGTTTATATTTCTGAGAACGGCCAAACCACATAAGCGACATTTACAGGCCTGCTTCCTTCTGTGGTTAATGGGCAGCTCAGTTGTGTCTGTTTCATATTATAACAACTTTTTTGAATACAGTCATCTCCAATTTATTGTTCAAATTCTGTCTCCCACCCCCAATTACTATCATTCCGTGTCCCAGTTAAAGTTCAGGCAGAAGAAATTCCCCCCCAAAAAGCCACAGTGGTTTCTGCAAGAATTTAAAGCAAATAGAAACAGAGAAAACTCCTATTTAGGTTGCAAGGTATCTTCGGAGAATGCTAGTTAGCATCTCCTGTGTGCAATAACAAGCTGGGCACTGTTAGAGAGACACAGGTGATCAAAGGTGACTAAGGAGCCACCCCAACCTCAGAGTCTGGGAGAAGAGAGAAAATATGGACACAATTCTGAGATATAATTACTAGAGAGCTGAAGATGATTAACAGAGAACATGGTCTGGGAAGGTGCGAGTGGTAAAAACCTAGGGCAATAAACTGTCCTCCTTTAATCTGTTTTCAACACAGAGCCACACATAACCCATCTAACTTCCATTCATTCTGCCGCAGCTCCAAGCAAAGTCTGGATCTGATTGTAGATTTTTGGTTTCATGTAGCCCTAGGAAGGCTAAAATTGCCCTCAAAGGTCTTCAGTCTTCAAGATTCTGATGGCAGTGGCAAGCCGGTGGGATTTAGGAGTGCAGGCTGCTTGCAATGTCAGAAAAAGCTCTGTGGAGCCTAGACTGAAACTGAACCTGGGTTCAATCAATAACCCAGATGCCACTTCAACAGAGTTCACTCACTTGAGACTGCAGACCCAGTCAGACAAGAAAATGCCAACTCAGGCTCCAAAAGTTCACCTATAGCTAGAGGGAATTCAAGAATGCACCCCTTGGGCTGTGCTGGTAAACTCTTCCTGCAAGATCTCCTGGGCTGAGCAGCCCGACAGCCTGAACTTGGAGACCTCACACAGTCATGTGGCCAGGCCATGCTCAGGGGCTAATATTTCTTAGCAAAGGGATAAGAGATAAGCTCTGTAATCACTAAAAACTATTTTTTAAAAGTAAAATTGTTCAAGACTAAAATAGTTTTGCTGAACAGTTAGCAATCAAGTATGCCCTTAGTCTCAAGGACATCTCAACAGTTTGGCTGTAGTTAGAATTTTGATGTAATTCACTTATAATAGGTAATTAACTGTATCTAGTTTAATATTTGTCAAACTTAGTATGTCTCCCGAATGTCAGAAACCCAGTTTACTATAAAATTCTACAGTTTCAAAGGTCTTCTTAAAGTTAATGATCTTTTACTAAGCTATGCATTTTTATCACTTGGTTAAGGAATTGCACCTTTTACCCTTAAACTATGATAGAGAGAAAAAAGAAAAAAAGTGGTTTAACGTTATTCAGCATATCAGAGATAATGTGTTTTACATTGGCAATTTCTTTTTCCAATTCCATAATTTTATTCATTTCCATAGAAATCTGTTTTTCATCTATGGGCAGTCCTCTTTCATCACGTATCAGTTTGGCCACAGAAATCATAAAGTCCACATATGCTGTACACGTCTGCAAAAAACAAATAACAGTGCATTGCTAGCAAACCTTCTAAATACTCATCATGGTGCTTTAACTCAAAATTTTATTTTCCATTTAATATGAACTTCTAGTAACAGATAAAACACAATAAAATAGCTATGCTTTTCTAAATCCTAAAAGAAATGACCTGCATGGATTCCTTGAAAGTCAACATGCCTGAGTTAAAGCAGAAAAATAAAGTATCACTTTGCAAGTACTAAGTAATTTATAACCATTTGGTTATGGGTGTTTTGTAATGTTCCATTTTTAGTCAAGTTACTTTTATTGTCTTAATAAGACTGTAAAACACTTGATAAACAAAAACCTAGTATTTTTCTTAAATATTAATATATTCCTTTACCAAAGTTCCTTTTCTCTGCATATATATATAACTATTAATGAAGAGATAGCCACGAACTCATATTAATATTATCAAGATATCTTTATATCTGTCTCCTCTGGCCAACCAACATATATATATTTTTAATGAGACTGTTCTTATGAGCTCCTCCAACATAAACCTGTGGGTTTTAGTTAATTCCATAGTTGCTCCCATTACTATGAAATTTATCTGTAAGATTCCATGGATTTGGATATCAGCTTTCTTCTAAGAACCCAAATTCTTTCCAGTTTATCTTCAATTACATTTAACTTTATCAAACTTTTACAGAATACATAAATGCCTTCTTCAGAGTGGCATCAACTCCGGGAAATTAAATGCCCCTTTCCTTTCGTAAATCTCCACCCATTGCCATCAAGCCATTATTATCTATCAGCAACTGAAATAAGTGAGATCCCACCTCATTAAAATGTACTCAAAACTCAAGTTCCCAGCACCAGCTGAAAGACGAACCACCATGACTACAAGAACCACGCAAGTTTGGACCAATGGGCACTTCTATGCCTCTGTCACTTGTTCACAGGGTAAATGCAAAGGAAGGCTAGCCAGTGCTTAACACTTTCACCAGTTTCAAGAGAGTTTTATATCCCTTCTAACAGATTATCAGTGATATTGTTACATTTACTGTGAGTGCAAAGGGGCACCTGAATTTACAGTGACTGGTTAAGGGGATTAAACATAAAACTCTTAGGGAGATGAACATATTTATCAAGCAAGAACCTAAGCAAAATGTACAGAGTTATTATCAATCTGAAAGTCAAGAGGACACCTTTAAGTAAGGTTTGGAGACTGACATTCCATGACCTTTATGAAATGCTAAGTAAACAGTTCCATGGGGAGAGGGCTCTCTCTTCCATGGACACCCCGTGATGCTGGGGTGTCCAGCTAGCATCTCTATCCATGGATTTGACATTCCATAAAACAGACTATTTGTCAGCTGTGAGTCTGTATTAAAAACCTAATCAATAAGTACAGGATAAGAGAATGTTTTTATGTGTATTCTTGTCAACTCCGTTCTTTTCCTACTCAAAGGTAATCAGAATTCTTGTTTCACTTTGAAGTAAACAACTATGCCTGAGTTCATACCTAACGGGACCAACCATTCCAAAACATAAGCATGCAGTGTTTTTGAATTAACTGTACTTCAAATCATAGAAATTCATCTGCATTCCTCAGGAAACTGCTGCTGAGTATAAAGAAAATGGTAATTTGAATTTTTCAATATCAATCCACTGAGACATTTTTTTTACTCTACAGGATGCTTTTTGTTAACCAGGTAAGAAAACAATAACAAGAATGCTCTCTTGCACTTTGCTGACTCTACCAAGCGATTCTACTCCAGTACCTTCATCCTTATAGGTGTATCCAAAGACCATGGAACTCAGCATAAGGTAAGCATGGGTGATGTTTCTAGTCTGCTCTGCTGGTCAAGTTTCCCAGGAAACTGGAAGCACTAGCTTCTGGGATGCTTAAATATTTAATACAGCTGCATGGAATACACTGCTTCCTTTAATGAACTTCATTACTTGGCAACTATTCCAATGTGACTGATTACAACATGTCTTAATATCTTCATTATCTTTTCCAGCTTCCAAATTTATATAGCAGCTGTCAGAACACAAGCTTACTGCTGCTGTTAAATCCTTTCCACAAGATGTGATTCTACCCTTAAGGTTTTAATTTCTTTTCTTAAGATACCTGGAGATTTATAAAATGCCAAATGACTGTAATTGTCATGATTTGGGGAAAAGGTAATAAACACATTTTAATATTTAAATAGTACATTGGCCAGAATGTTTTTAAAACTGAAATTCAGCTTATGTGTGTGTGTGTGAGTGAGAGAGCAATCAGTTATTAGGACAAGGGCCAGAGTCAGCTCTCTTTTTTGAGTCANAGTGAGAGGGCAATCAGTTATTAGGACAAGGGCCAGAGTCAGCTCTCTTTTTTGAGTCATAATTCAACCTAGTTCAAGCCTTGATATAGTGAATCCTGTGAAAAAGAAACCCACCGAAATATGCAGCCCTTCCTTCAAAAATAAAACATTGCAAATCCCCGTGCTTACAACAGGAGGTTCAAAGACGACAACAGTTGGGTAAAATCCATAATAGCAGTTTTGTGAGTGTTTAAATTACACAATATCAATGCGATGATATTTAGCAACACCCAACACCATGAATTATTGCTTTCATTAGAACTATCTTCATTTTGCGGGACCAAGCAATGATATTTATACATTAGTTCTGTTCAGAAGTTGGGCTCTTCCCGCTTATAAAAAGCTGGTATTTGTTGGAGTTGCCAAAGAGGAAGAAAGCAATGCCACCTGACTGTGTCCTTCAAACGTCAGGATCTTTGTTAATGAGGAGCAGCGGGACCCACAGAAGAACAGAGAGCTCTCCAGTCGGACTGGCTGACACTTGGGTACCTTTCACTTCCAAAGATGCTATTCCAGGACACCCAGATCTTAAACAATTGTCTGCCTTTTCCCTTTCAGGAAGAAAATCGTCTTAATGTGAAGCATGAAGTGACTGAGAAGTCACAGAACTCTACCCTTCCTGGCCACTGAGGCTGAGGACTATTGAATGGTGTCATGCAGCAAGTTTCCTGGAGGAACACACAAAGGACACGAAGCAGGAAAGACACGTTTCCTGTCCGCAAGGCTTGGGATTTCCCCCCACTTCAAGCAGCATGTCGGGGAGCAGGCACCTGCCAGCACAGAGACTTGCTCCCTGAAGAACTATCCCTACTGCATAGAACCAGGCAGCCGCTCCTAAGAACCAAAAAGGGGAGACATTTCCCGTCCTACTAGGACGGTGGAGGGAGAGAAACACAGGACACGGGAGGACCCACTGTGGACCAGCGTGGGGACTGCTGGAGAAGCTGCAGGTTCCTACGAGCAATTAGTTGTAATTTGTAAGGTTTGTTGCCTATCTTTGGGAGGCTGAATGAAGTTCTTTTTACAAACGTGGTTAAGTCAATCTCAAAAAATTCTCTTGTCCTAGTCACTAAGTGCCAAGTGAAAAAGCTCCTTTTTGTTAGATACAGATACCCAGACTGGACTGGGTGAAACCGCCTGACAGTCACCTGGTGCCCAAAAAGGAAAAAATGAGGCCAGCAGTCTCCCTTGCAGGCTGTGTTTCAGCAAGTCAACCAAGCAGCCAGAGTGACCTTTTTAGAAATCCAGATAGACCTCTATCTAATTATCCACTTGCCCCTGACCCCAGTGAATTACTTTGTACCATATCACCACATTCTGTTTTCTTTGTAAATCTAGTATCTCCATCTATCTTATTTCCTTGAATGATTTATTTGCTTCTTTACTGTCCATCTTCTCCCATTAGAGCATGAGTTCCATGTGAACAAGGACCTTTTCTGCCTTATTTCCTTGGTATCCCTATTGCATAGAAAAGTAACTGTCACAGAGTAAAGGCTCAATAAACATCTGTTGAATTTTTTTAAAAAACGAAGTTAATTTTTAGGTATACTAACCAAGTTCACTCACTTCCTTGTTGCATTAAGACTTTTATTTTCGGCCCACGCTTAGAGCAGTTTCTCTCAGCTTGAATTTTGGGCAAGTGGGCAAACGAAATCCTTTCCAGGTTAACTCAGTTCCAGCTTGTGCCTGCTGACCTGCAGGACCGCCAGCCTCAGCTTATGCTCTTTCTGAGTAGGTACCACTTAGAGAATTTTTCTGGTCTGTGTTTTCTCTTATTCAGACACCTATGTCATCCCTTTCTGGCTTCCGACCAGCCTGGCCATGTTCCAAGTCCTTTATCCACACGCCTAAAACATTTTCACTTTTTGTGAACCCCCAGGTTTTCTAAGAGCTCCAAATTTCTTCACGACCCTGGCCTTCTTTCCCCCTGCTGGGCTGCACAGCACAATCCTGCGGCTTTTACTCTCCAGCTCCCGCCTCACCTCCCGGGCTCTCATCTGCTAGACCACTGCTTTTCTCACTGCTTTTCTCACATTTCTTCTCACCCTGAAATGGTCTGTTCGAGTCAATATTTTGTTGATGTATACACAAGTAAAATAAACTGTGACGGACTCAGTCGGAGTGCATATCACAAAGGCGGGCTACACAGAGCCCTGCCACTGGCACACACAATGTGGCCCTTGGGTTGGGAAACCACTATACTGGCTTAGTCTACCTTCCCAGACAACACAGAGCGTAAGTGTACACATAATTTAATTACACACAAACCTTTTGGGTCCCTAACCTACAGATTTCCTTACGGAAGAGGGCAAGGTGAGCTACAGAAGTGAAAAAGGGAAGCTTTGAGACCAATTCCAACTCACCCCCGATGCTGAGTTCAGAGATTCTTCTGAAGGTGGGTGATGTATTGTTATCATCGTTTCAGTGAATCAGTGTGCAAGCACTGTCTCACATGAGGGAGGGAGTTGATTGCTTTCAGTTTAAAATTCCCTGAATGCGATGATTATTTTTTATGGGTAATGTGTACCTTTTATATTATTTTTATAGAAATAATAGAAATGTATAGCCTTGTAAGGGATAAAATTGTTTCAAATGTCACTAGTTATAGCCTTTAAGGTAGCAGTGCAATGTTAAGTCATCTTCAGGTAAGCAGAACAC